ACTTGGTGGCACACTTTATTATTATTATTTATTATTATTATTATTATTATTATTATTATTATTATTATTATTATTATTATTATTAGTAGTAGTAGTAGTAGTAGTAGTAGTAGTAGTAGTAGTAGTAGTAGTAGTATTGTTGTTGTTGTTGTTGTTGTTGTTGTTGTTGTTGTCGTCGTCGTCATCATCGTCATCATCGTCATCACTATTATCATTATCATTATTATCATTATCATTATCATTATTAAAGCATGCATGGTATTCTAGCCATAAAGCGATTAATTACCCCTTAACACTCGCTCATTCTCTTTGCAAAAGCCCAGCCAAAAATGCAGAACGCTGGCAAATAAAGATACCTGATTGTAATTGTGGTTGCTAACCTGCTTCAAAATTTTAAAAAATTAAATATAAAGTAAATTTTTTTTTCAGTCAATGTAGCTGCTATGCATCACCTGTGGAAGTATCAATGTTTCTTTCCCTTGTATTAAAAGTTACAGAAACTGCATATTCTACTGCTGTTAACTGGATCTGTTCTATTTTTTTTTAATGGTCAACTGGTATTATCTGAGGAGTCACTCTCATTCCCATGTCTTTGATTGTCGCTACGGAAATGCCAGAACAGCCGTAAAATTCACAAAGAGCTGGCCTTGTGCTTTTGTTTCTAATAGTCCACTGGCAACCTATAAAAAAGAGAATCTCATTTCTGTGTCAGTGATTTTAAAGTGCAAATTAGCAATAAAAACAACAACGGATATTGTGGCACTGTAAAATGTAATACATTTTATTTGGCACAAGCTTTTATGGACAGTCTACAGCCCCTTTCACGAGGTAGCCTATGATGAATTAAAATTTGTTTGCAATGAAAACTGGCAGCTGGGTTGTCAGTGGGGCGAGGAATCCATACTGGGTTTTAGTCCAAGCAAAGGACTCTCTAAAGGTGCTGAAGGCTCTTTCCAAAATAAGTACAGAACTTTGGACAGCTCCTTTAAAGAGCCGGCTAAAATCTGGAGTGGATTTATTACATCGGAACCACCAGCTTGCTTCCACTGCTTATTAGTTTTCATGATGCCACAGGATTTTTGTAAGTTTTTGTTATAGTAGACTAACCTGGCTTCCCCTCTAGAAATTTCTCCAGGTGCGACAGCAGTAGAAAATAGTCTAAATTAATTCACACAAAGTGCAGAAGTGTGATATGGCAAATATGTCGGCTTGCTTTTTGTTTAAGGCAAATTTTGACACTAAGATTATTTTGTATGCTTCGTAGAGACCTCATGATATCTCTTTACAAGCAATTCTTGAGCGGGGAATTTGTGCCCAAATGTTAATGAGTTATTTTGATCTGTGTTCTTCTGGCACATTTAACATCCATAATTACTTCCATGTTGCTAATAAGGTCGTTATCATCACCGGGTGCCTTGGCCCTTCAAAGCAAATTATGAAGTGAATACTGTTTCTGTTGTTGCCATTTCTTTGTGGCTGTAAATATATAATCGCATAAATCTAATTCAAAATTGATAGCTGATAAAATCAGAGGAAGTTCCCATTAGATGATAGCTGATACAAAACAGAGGAAACCCCAGCTGGAATTAAAGTATGTGAAAGACAAAATTACTTAGTTACAATTCTGTAAAATATGGGGAAAACTCAGATATCAGAATAAGCAGGCTTTATTCAAAACCTGTGGTCAAAACAATAAGACAGGGAGGTGCATTTACTAATATTTAAGAAAATGGTTAACTTGGAAACTGTCTCCTCCCAAGAAGTTATCTTGAAAATCTCAGGTGCAAAACATCTCTGTGTGTCTGTGTGTGTTCATGTGGGAATAACCCTTATAAATTCAGTGGGGTTTACTTCTGAACAAACATGCCTAAACATGCAGTAGGACATGGAGCTGAGAATAAATACAGCTCAAATCAGGCTGATAACATGAAGGTGTGGCTTTGTTTTAAACCTACAAGGAATCATTTGGGCTTTTAAAGAAGAATGAAAAATGTGTGACTGAAATGGTGTAAGCGTGAGCCGGCTTTATCAGGCCTAGCTTTTAAATATTTTAAAATATATAAATATTTAATATAAGTCTATGTGCCCATATATTTTGGGGGACGACTAGGGAGCACTAGATTTAAAATGGGTTATAGTAACACTAACACTTTCAAGGCAAAGGTGGGAATAGTCTCAAAGATTTGTAAATATCTTTGAGACACTCAATAGTTTTTTTTAAAAAAACACCACATAGATTCGCACCCACACCCCTTCAGCTTCCAACCTCAACACTAACAAAACAGGAGTCCCTTAAAGCAGCCGCAAATTCTTCCTTGGGAACTCTTACCTCAGAGTTTCAAAACCTTGGAAGCTTCTGTGGTAAGTGCAGAATACTCAATACATGCTCAGAGAAACTGTTATCTTCATATGGATTTGTTCTCCAGGACTGAGGTGTGTGTATGTGTGGTTTCCCGCCCCCCCATTCTAACTTACAATTGAAAACTATGTCTGTGGAAGGGAAATTTGAGCCCTGTGTTTCTTTGATGGATGGTGGGGCAAAACTATGAAGTTACAAATCACGAATTATTACAATTCCTCCCCCTCCCCTCTTAACTCAAGGACACCATAGTTGCAATTCACATAGCCAGAGAGAACTTGCTTCTTTTGAGGTAAAGCCACCACGATTTTAGTCAACTTTATAAAGGAGAGGGTCTGTGGTTGGTCTCCCTGCTTAGGTGTCTCTGTATGTTTATCGGATTCTGATGATTTTTAAGTGATTAAAGACAAAAACGAAGATGCTCATTTTGATACAATTGAATATCCACAAGTAGGCCATTATTATTAGTTCTGAGTAAAATTTCACCACAGTACGCCGGCTTTCAAGACCACTGGAACTCTTCATCAGGTCAATAGAATAATCCTCATGTGGTGTCAAGTCAACTCTGACTTACAAAGACCCTTTTTTAAGGGTTTTCTAGGTAGAGGACACTCAGAAGTGGTTTGCTAATCCCATCTTCTGGGGGGGGGGGGCCTGGGACTGTGCAGCTTGCCCAAGGCCACCCAGGCTGGCTCTTCTTCCTGGGATACATATTAGGGGAATCAAACACCCAACTTCTGACTCCCCAGCCATATACCTAATTTACTGAGATATCCAGCCACATTTCATCAGTGTAGGTGATATAAAACGGGGAAGGGAAGAGTGAATAGAAATCCCAAAAGGTGGCCTGTTGTTGTGAGGTTTCTGACTAAATTCAGCCTCTGGGTGGAGATTGCAAAGTTTGTTTTAGATATGCCAGTATTACATTACACCAGAAATGCATACACGAGAGGCTAAGATCTGAGTAACAGCCCCGCTGGAGTTTTCACAGATCCTTTGTAGTTCCTTTCCAAAACCAGGGGTGAAAAGAGCATCTTTAAAAAACAAAACAACACCTGTAACTATAATACAACTAGCTACCTGGGGTTGGAACTAGAACTGTAACTTTCCAAGCTTGGGGAGCGGTATCAGTTTTCTCTCCTATGGTACTCATCTGATAGCAATGATAACGGGGATGTCCCCGCACTGAGACAATTCCGCCCAAACCCATTCCTTGTAATACAACAACCAATATTGATCAGGAGATCCGGAAAGATGGGATTACCCATCCTAAAGACCTATTTAATGTCAATAAAGGCTTATCGTATCGTATCCTAAAGAGCTAGGGCCAACCGCTAACTCTGCTTAAACTCATTGAATCTAGAGCAGATTGTAGGAAAGCCAGCTAGAATAGACCTAGAAAACCCAAACAGAATAGAACCATTGGATTAACAAAGGGGTTGACTTGCTGCTCATCAGTTGGTTCAACATGCCTAGTCTAATGAGGACTAGGAACTGGATTTAAGCCATGGTCTTCTGCACATGAATACCAACATGAATTTGACCCAACTCCGGGAAGCAGTGGAAGACAGGAGGGCCTGGCGTGCTCTGGTCCATGGGGTCACAAAGAGTTGGACACGACTTAAAAACAACAACTTCTGCACAGGCATCTATAGGCCAAGGCATTGGCTGCAGATGGTACAATGAATCTACATCTTTTCTGGATGGACTTTTCTGCCAAGATGAGAAATTTCTGAAGGATAAGGCTACCAGTGACTGCCAGGACAATGGCTATAGGTTGCCTTCATAGAGGCAATAAGACCCTCAACATCAGCTGCCAGGGAACAAGAGGGTGCTTTTGTGCTCATGTCATCCATGGAGCCTGGCTAAGTTCCTTTCCTTTCTTTTAAACTACAGGTTCTAGAACTCCGAGTCAATGTGGCCTCTGCCCATGTGGGCTGAAGGATTCTGAGAGTTGTAGATTTGTTTGTTTGCTTTTTGTTTTTAAAAAGTGGCACTTCAGACAGTTGTATTTGTTGTGAGATGTTGTGGGCTGTAGCCTAGTTTATCAGATGGACTCATCAGAGAGAAAGTGGATCATGAAAGTGGATACTAGGAATAGATTTGCTCGTCTTTAAAATGGCACAAGGCTGTGGCCGATCAGCACAGCTGTTTCCATCTCAAAAGAGTTAAGAACGTAACTTGTCCAAGCTCTGTTCGTATAGGTATTGGCTTCCCAAAGGCATCACGTTGGCCTCCGTGGTAGCGGAATGCTAGACTAGAAAGGTCTTTGGTAACCCAATACAACTCTACTTTTGTTCTTCCATGCAAAATAAGACATGTGTAATGAGCTCAAGTGTAACACAATCTATAACCTTAGAACGGCAGAGCTGGAAGGGACCTTCTGGATCATCGAGTCCAGACCAAGGATCAAGGAGGCCCAGTGGGGGAATCAAACTCCCAGTCTGCAGCCCGAAATCTAAGCCATTGAGCTCTTATGAATGCAGAAAGAGAGATAAATGCATTCGTGCACTTGGGCAATTATAAGTGTGCAGGGTTTTCTCTAAAAAGAACAACAGCGGAGTCTTGATGTGTAGAAATAACAATGGCTATACATCACAATCATAAGGACAATAGTAACAATCATGGGGGACTTACTCACCCTATCTTCTTCTTCTCTTAAGTCGGGCATGGTGCTAATACAAAGGCTGATAGCTGTGGTTGCCACAAAGATGATAGAGAGGCAAGCAAAGATTTTACCCGGCAGCCCCGACTGTGGGTTTTCCACCATGTCTCTCAGTTTGGTCATAAACTGACCAGCTTTGGCCTCATCTTCTAGGATACAAGACATCACCTTGTTCATCTGTATCTCCTCCTCTCTGCGCATCTCCGCCAGTTCCTCGGCACTCTGGAACAGCTTTCGGAAACAGCAGTTCTCCAAGTGGGACTCCTCAATCCCCCAGTACTTCAGTTCTTCCCGAAAGGCCAAGGCACACATGTCACGGAGCAGCATCAGTTTCCCTGCTGCGAGAAAGCTGACAATCATCCCAAAAGCACTGGGGCTGCGGTCAAAGAAGAACTCGTGCGTGTCTTCGTCGTAGTCGTCACACAGCTGGATGATCTCCTCGTAGCTGCTGCAGAACTTTAGCTTGCTCAGTCTGGATGACGGGAACTCATCCAACGTGCTCCAGGGCAGCAAGTATTTGATGCCGCCGACATTGACCATGATCTCCCTCTTCTCGTCTGTTTCTCGCAACTGATCTGGGTGGTAAATCTTCTGGGCCCTTCGGTAATGGACCCCTTTGGCAGGAGGAGTCTCGACCACTGAGATGGGGATCAGATGGTTCAAGGAGCTGCAAGAAGCATAACTGTAGTCATGGTCACTGGCTCCAGAGAGAATAGGCATCTCTGAGGATTATCACTGGGCCTTCCGGAGCAACATTAGAGCGAAGCTAGCTAGAGAAACAGGAAGGGAGAGTTAGAACGCACACGACGAGACGGAGTCATCAACGCTGCGAGCTGAGAAACCCAAACACCCCCACTCTTAATGCTATTTTTCTTCCACCAATGCTCTTAGATATCTCGGTGTTTATGGTGTGCCCCAGCTGTGCTTTGCTGACGGACTATTAAAACAACAACAACTAGGCACTGGACTTTAGGCTCCTTTCTGGGAAGAACCTGGTTTATAGCCTTCAAATCTGCTTAAACATGGGCGTTGTTGCTCCATGATACCTATGGAGAAGTCATTCATCTACCATGAGAAAAAGCATTGATGTAAACCCCCAGCAACAAGACTGAGTTCTACCAGTTCACACCAAAGATAGATCTGGTCCAAAATGTTAGACTGAATTGAATTGTTAGTCTGAACCAGTTGAACAAAGGAGGTTTATTTAAGTCAACACTTGGACAACGTCAATTGACTCTATGCAGCTAATCTAGTTGGGATAGAGAACTGGACTTAGCCCCTTATTTCTCAGAGGCCAGCCAGAGGCCACTGGAAGTTCATAAGTAGGGCATGGAGGTGGCGGCCTTCCGCCATTGGCTGCCCCCCATCATCCAGGGTTAAGAGGTAGAGTCCATCTGTTCATGGAGGTGGCAAGTCTAAAAGCGACTTCTAAGTAAACTGTGCAATCGGAGGTATGCTTGCTTAGAAGAAGAACCCTTTGAGATCAGTGGAACTTAGTCCCACCTGAAACTGTAGTCACCCCAATGTCGCCTTGTCCTTAAAAAAAGTTGTCTAAGCTACTCCCATCACTATCAGTGCTCCATTCTGTGGTAGCAAATTGCATCAGTTAATTATGTTTATATGGGCAGGATTTACTCCTGTCTGTCCTGAATCTGCTGCAGATCAACTTTCTGAGGCAATGGCATTTCAGTATTAAAATGCTTACTTCCTAGTAGACTCAAGGGGATTAATACTAAGATACTGTGTCTGTCTTTGGAGGAAAGGCTGCATCCATTCCCAAGGATTTTACCTGCCCAAAGAGGGGTATTTTGAAAATTACGGCTTTGATTTTATGTTGGTGATAATGATAAAAACGGCCGTATTTTAAAATTACAGACACGGATAAGCAACATGTAAAGTCCAAAATGAATTTGTTCGTCCTAGATCATCCACTGGGCAACAGTCAGGAAAGAATGTATTCAGTGTTTCTCAACCTAATTCTGCTGCATTTTCTGAATGAGGGGTTAACAGTGAAGGAAAGCAGTCAGACAAAAATCAGAGGTGATAAAAGTTTTGAAGTTGTTGAGCTGCTGAGAATTTTGAAGGTCATAATAAGCATCGGTAGAAGCTGGGATGGTTAATTTTGGAGGAATCAGGTACTCTTCACTCT